GCACGTGTAATTAAGGCACGGGACATGTTAACTTTAAATAACATTTCAAAAATTAGAATGAACTCTTCTCAACCAGTAGCAATGCGCAGTTACGTAAATTGTACACGAACAGTGAGATACAAATACAATAGGGAACGCATAGAAAAATAGCGGATATAATGGCATTGTTAAAACGATTGAATTTCGACGGGAGCCACACAATATCGATATTGCGAGGAGAAATTCGTTATAGAAAATATAAAGAATACTATTGAAGACTAGTCGCGAATATTATTTGAACAAATCATTGATCTGGATCGTAAAGAAAAGGTGGTAGTAATACACACTATAATTTTGAACTATATACAAACTATGAAAACTTCAGTGAATTAGCTATAATTTTTCGTAAAATTTCCGAAAATAATTTCTTATCAGTAGAATTTTATTGTACCAATGTTGTTAACATTATAATAATGAATTATAAATTCATAATAATATAATTAAAATATAAATTCATTATAATAATAAATTTTTAAATTACTATGTACCTGATTATTTGAAATTTAACAAATAAATTAAGTTTTACAAATTATTTTAATGCGAAATAATATCGAACTACTATCTGATTTCAAAATTGAAACAAAAATTTGTAACTTCAAGTTCATAACGTTTATGTATTACATTTCGCATAAAATTTCTAAAAATTGTTCTTGTTAATTATTCCGACTTGTAAGTTACCAAAATGAATGTATACTGCCACCTCTTCCATTGTTCAAACTTGATCACTGGTCTCTGTTACTACGTAATATATCACCATAAACGCTTCAATGATCATTAATAATTAATGCTTGCTCTGTAATCGTGCACCAACAGATGTGCATGTTTAAGGATATTTTTACGACTGTTTCGAGTGAACAGAATTTTAGTTAAATTGTCAAAGAGTTGTACAAGGGTTGCAAGTTTCTTAATGTTCATTAGTCAAAACATGTTTCTACAATTTTTAAACAAAATAATGTTGAATTATTTTAGAGTTTGAAAGCTACAACTTGTTTGAGTGTGTTTGAAAAATTGAGAATGTATTTGTGACAAAAAGAATGTAGACCGTGTAGATAAAAATAAATATCGGCTCAACAAAGGGGAAAGAATGAAAAAACAAGAATAATAATATTACGTGGATATTATGAAAGAGAAATTAATACTAAATCGAGAAATTGCGTGTTCGTATACTCAAGAATTTCTCTCTTTATTTTACCTAATTAATTAGAGTAAATAATTCTCCACGTAAAAGAACGAAATAGAATGACTATTTTCTGAAAGGTCGAAATTAATGGAAGATATTTCTTTCGTTTGAATTCCATTCACTCGAAAGGGAGGACGAATATTGCACACCTTTTGGTTTTTCACGTATTTTCACCCACCAATTATGTATAACACAGTCAGTCGAAAAAGTTTCTGTATACCTATTTAAAAGAGATTTAACATTATATAATTTCTACATAAAATAGAATGAATTAATTTACCGTATTTAAAAATAGTAGCAGACTAAATAGTATTAATGAAACTGAATTAATAATTTTTGTTGACCATAAATATAAAATTTAATATTACTAGAGCATAACTTTCTTTATGATTTTAATAATGTAAACGATTTATTTTCTTCTACCATATCCTCTTTAATACCTGCACGTTATTTTAACTTTAGATTTTAAAAGTATTCTTTAAAACTCAAAAACTTGAAAGAAAAGAATATTCTTTAACAATAAATAATAGAGATATCAATGATTTTACAATTTCTTATTAAAATAACTTGTACAAATCACTGTTAATTTGGTTTTGTATGAAAAACTGATCCTTCTATCATCTTCTACAATTTCAGTACTCACAGATTAGCTAAAAATTTGAGTAACATTCTTAAATTACTGTGAATTGTTTCTTTCCGTTTTAACAAATACACTTCCAAACAATATAATGTAATTATTTGAAATTACAGAATGAAAACGCAGTATACAGAAACTTTTTCGACGAATTGCAGATATTGAATGGTTTCGAACCACGTGCCTGTGAAAAATATTTAAAAAGTGCGTGGTTAATTATATGTATGTATATATATAACATTTATGTATGTATATAAGTATTGCCGAAAATATGAGTTCCATACTATGTATGTATATGTATAATAGTAATGTAGAAGGATTGTGAAATTGATATGTTATCGAAGCAGTAATATTATACGTATCACAGTGCTGTGATTGAGAATAATCGTAATAAACGTTACTCTGTTCTCTCTCTGATACTGCTTTTACCTGTTTTACCTTTTTTTTTATAGTTTCGCTTCGTCCTCGACCTATCTTAATTTATTCCCCTTTTGCGCTCGATTTTGACGACAACAACTTTTCATTTCTTATTTTCTGACAGAATTATTCACGAACGCGTTGAAACTGAGAGAGAAGACGTAAAGAATGCGCTTTTCAACCCGCCATGTATGAATCTTACGCGTTATACATCTTTCTTTTATGTAAGGTGAATTATAAAATAGTGTTCAAGTGAAACTTTTATTCAAATGTAGATAGCAACATTTCTTTAATAATTTCTATGGATTCATTTGTTACTAAAAAATATAACCGTGCATTTGAAATCTAAGCATGTTTAAAAAACAAATTTAATAATGCTAATTCTTAAAATATTGCATTTTATGCAATTATATCTTCAAATTGCATCAACCTTTGTTATTTATTATATACAATAGTTGACAAAATATGAACATGAAAAATAAGATTCAGAAAGAAAATTGCTGGTGGTTTCACGGAAATAATTTCAGTTTTTAACAAATCAATACATCCTTGTTTGAAATTTATGTAAACGTAGTACGAAAAGTACAACAAATGGCTCTTATTATTCTTATAAAATTTATAACATGTATCAAAATATAAAGCTATTGACATAAATAACAATTTTCACACTTCACCCTACACATGTATAACGTCCAAGATTCACATATGTATACATATGTTTATAGATATATATATATTATCCGTATCTTCCCTATTTCTTAAAAGAATAAGAATTAAATATCCTTTCCCGAAAAATATTTCGTTCTATTAATTCATTAGTAAATTCCTAATTTTAATTTCTAGATTGTCCACAGCTGCTTTTAAAACTATCTACCCTGGGTACGAAATACAATAATTCCTTGTTGATCAGCTGCCAGGTGTGCTTGGCACATTTTGACTCGTCTACGTTTCCTTTCTCTTTTTATTTTTGCGAAATTCTTATCTATGATTTCGCAGCGTATCAAAAAATGTATACATCTACACACCCTTGCGTACGAATAAATTTAACCGTACTCCTTATGAATTAGCATAGTATCCCTTTAATTTTTGGTCTCACTTTGATAACTTACGCCTAAATATTGTCTCGTTAGAAAACTAAATTTCTGTTTCGCAAAAAAGTAACATTTCACTTTCTTTTGTTGTCCTTCGCTCTCATCTCACGCTTTCTTCACATTAAAATACGAACAAATATTTGTTACCCGCGACATTTATAGGAGTTTGTGTAAACAACGACAATTCCTTGATTCTGAACAACGAAATACATTATAAAAATGATACGTTTAAGTATCAAAGTGTAAACAAATTTGTATCTACATTTGAATACTCTGAACGACATAACATAAAAAATTTTAACGTTTCAAATACAATTTTTAAATTACGCCAATAAGAGGCGTAAAGAAAAGTAGTTTTCGTTATATTGCAAAAATACTTCTGAACGTAGATACACAGTGGTACGTATTAGCCTTTTAAATGACTGCACTTGTAAAACGCCTTAAATTCGTTTAGAATACACGATCGCAGTATAAATTCGTAAAAGAATTCAAACCTTAAGAAGTAAAGAAAGCAGTAACGTGTACCGTTACATGTTATTTTGTTACAAGCGTTTAATATCAGGTTAGTTTGTGTCGCTGTTATCTACTCCTATTATCGTTCTTAAATATTTACAAAATTCAGTAATGGCAACAACGCGAGCCATCATTTATCAATTCCGTATTTCACAATTTGTTTCGATCTAAAAATATTAAAAAATAAAATGTTAACCCCTCAAACCGGCTACCGTGCATTTTTTTACGAACATATTATAAACAATTTTACAAATCAATTGTGACTAAAGTATCGCTTAAATCTAAAGGATCCGTCTAAAAGCTAGAAATTAATAATCAACTAATTCGTAAGTTCTTCCTTTAAGTAAATTATATACAAATAAGTAACCTTCTTTTTTAATTTATAATATTACATCCTCTGTACACTAACCCTAATCACGCAAAATTATTCTGTACAACGAAATGATCTGAGGGATTAATAATAGCAGCCAAATGTGCTTGGCTGAAACTTATTCGCTAATTAATTATCTTTACATTCATCCACCAATATGTTTTACGGGCCACGGTACGACAAATATTTTTGCTTGCTACACCAATTCATTTATGGTCTCGCACCAATTACTATTAAATACTTTCGTAATGTTTCATTGATTTACTGAAAAATTACGATTGATCGAGGTTCGAAGCAAAATAACAAGTTGACAAGCTATTTCGTTTGCTGATAATACAACTCACAATTTGCGCAAAACGTTCAATGATTTAAAGAGAAAAAAATATATATGCGAAATTGTTCAAGTCACTCTATATTGAACTTCTTTTTTTTCGGAAAATGAAATAAAAAATAACAGTAAGAATTACTTATCTTGTAAAGGAAACAAATGCAGAATTCGAAATGTGACATGAAATTGATGTGAAATCGACTAGATTTCATTGTAATGATGCTTCTTAATTATTATAAAACTGTAATATTTAAATAGTAAGATTTTTAACATGGAAGTCTTGTAGTTTTGCAACATTTGTAGAAAATGATATACAGTTGATGTATAACAGTTGATGAACAAAAACGTAGTCAAAATGTTTTTAAATACTTGCTTAGATTTCAAATATTTAAAGTATTATAAAACATTATATCAAAATACAACAAAAATTTGTATCAGGATCAATATGATAAAACGTATTATTAAAAAAAGGAAAAGGAAGATTGCAATATTTGTATAATTGCATCACAACCAAAATGAGCGAGAACGACTGAAACAACCATTGTAATAAACCACAAACGGAAGAATCGAAATCTTTGTCTAATTTCGAGACAACTAAGAGACCATAAATAAACAAACTTGTAACAATTTTGTACAATCGTACAGCGTAAGGGCCCCCTGGTGGAATTTAGATTGATTTCCACTGCGGTTTGTGGGGACCCCCCCTTAAACGTCAGGGAAGTCCTCTAGGAACCCACAGGGCTTTGCTTTGCTCTTCATCTACTGCAGCTTTTACTTGCGTACAAATATACGCAACATTTACTCCCGCAGGAATTACAGCTAAAATAAATGAAACTTAAATCAGTAATAACAGAAAATACTACGTAAAATATAAAAGAAACCGTTAAATCAAACTTTGATATTAAAAAAAAAATGAATTCTCACCAGAAATGTAGTGCCTGTACTCGGCTTCCAATTTCAATGCCTGTTCATACATTTCCTTGGCAGCCTTGGCACTAACTTTATCACTTGGATATCTCGAATCTTTTACTTCTTTAATTTGTTTCGTACTCTTAAATTTAATCAACAAAACAATAGGATAGATCTGATGTCGATGGAGTCGCTCGATCGACGCGATTGACACATCCAAAATACAATGAGTATTCTATAAATAAATATATTCATATAAAATCTTAATAATAGAGCGTAATAAAAATAATTCGAAAAATTATATATGTTTTATACGATCTACTTTTAGATAGTTAACCTAGCATATCTACGTAATTATAAATAACTGTGTCAATATTGTACACACGTTGAATAAAAAAATATCTTACCTTCTCGCAAATGTCCTTGACAGCTTGTACCGTAGTACACTCGAAATAGCTTCCTTTTTTTCTGTAGTCTACATAAAGCGAGTCACGTAAACCCTGTTCGAGCGTCGCCTGAGAACAATGCATAGCTTCTGCAAGACACCTAGTAAATTGCCCAGGAAATTCTTGCAACAATTTCGTTACTACACATTCACTTAGCGGCCCGATAATCAGTACTGGTCTTAAAGCTGGATCTGTATAAAAATAACATTACGAATTCAAAAATTTAAATCAGCAGCCATTATGAAGATATTTATTTGCTATTATAAATACTCACAATCTAATCTTTCAACGCGTTGATAACTTGCCGGCAAGGTTTCTTCGTTCAATGTCCCGCTATCACTGTACCAACCTAAATTTACCCCGGTAAGGTGCGACAATTCTTTACTGTCCCTACTAGACGAACGCTGATGTTTCTTTCTACGGAAGAAACTTCTTCTTGCACTGGTACTACCTCTTCTAGTTGTATCTGTTTCCAAATCACCCAGTGATCGTCGCAAAAGTAATTCTTCTTCGACCCTGATAATTCAGTTCTCATTAAATATACAAAGTATGTAAATTCTTTATATTAAAGCTTCCTTCGACTTACTTGAATTTACTTGGAATTATACCGCACGTTTGTCTTCTTCCGGTCTGATCGACCAACCAAGCTCTCCAATGACCAGGCGTACCATTGAACATTGTATTATCGACGTACAAAATATCGTCTTTATTAAACCTAAGTTGTAGGCTGTCTCCAACTTCACCTACCCGATCGAACATTGCTTTCACATAGAAACTGTCTCCAGGCTTATCCTTTACTTCGTTATACCTTTCAGGTACGTATTGAGCGATCAACGTTACTTTATCCGCCGGTCTAGCTAATTCCAGAGCCGCCTGTTCAGCAGTTGCTTGCCTGAGATCCACGCCATTATATTCTAGAATTCTATCACCGGTACGCAGTCCTGCTTCTTCCGCGAGGCAGCCTGGCTGTACAGAATGTACGAATATCCCAACACCATTTCCACCCACCAACGAAATACCAAGATTAGAACATTTTCTGGTCTCGATAAACAAGTATCTCGGTTCACTCGGTGGTGGACTTTTACGATTCTGGTCTTCCTGGGTTGGGCTTCGTACAGTGGCATTTTGTCGTTGCAACGTGGTTGCTGCTTGGTTGAGCTGTGCGCGTGTCAGTGTGTTGGCGGTACCGCGTAATGTGTCAAGTGTTACTGAATTACGCATATTTTCCAACGTTGCAGAATTACGAAGTTCTGGTTTCCTAATATTGATATCCAAAGACGCTGACGCTCTAATTTCTCGTTCCCTTTCTTGAGTACCTCGCACCTCTAAGGAAGCAGAATTTCTGATATCCCTTTCCCGAATCGTACGAGGCGGTTCCAAGGTATTCGACGTTTCACGCATAATAGTTAACGTATTGGAAGTATCACGTGTTGTACTTAAACTACTAGAAGCGTCACGTTCAGGTTCCGAGGTTTCCAATGGCTCTATAGTTGTCTTTCTAGGAGCTTCGGGACTGTTACACGGAGTTGGAGACCCACTACGACTACCTCCTTCGGCACCGCCAGCTTCTGATGAACTCGAGGAAGCAGATCCTTCCTCTAATTCGTTGTATTCTAGTAAAGGAAAAATTAATCGTAAATACGGTGTTGCGCCGAAACACGAACCATGCAATGATCACATTTAACAAGACTAGTGCAAGAAGATTCATAAAGTGCAGCATGTGATAGGGACAATCTACATGTTCTAATAAAATACTGTACTTACTGTCTGGACTATACTGCACCAGCATCGTAATGGAATTACCGCACTGGCGCAACACATTGGCAGCAAGCTGATAAGTAGCGCTTCTCATATTGATGCCACAGACCTCGAGCAATTGATCACCGATCTGAAGACCGACCTGGGAAGCTAGACTGTGCTCGCTAACGGTAGAGACAAATACACCACCGCTTTCTAAGCAAGAAATTTGAATACCTAACGGCTCGACCGATTTGTCTATATGAACTCTACGAAGTTCCCCAGGTGCAGGCCTAGGTTGAGAGTAACAATAATCTGGCATGCTGGATCGTTTGTTGCTACTACTTCCTCTGACGGTTCCTCCGGAACTGCTTCCACCGCCGGTGCCCGGACTAAGTACTTCCACATGGAATGTTGGCATCGGGCTGCCTCTTTCCGAGGTTCTTTCTATACTGCCGGTGGACAATTTACCCACGCTGCTTTTCGACGTCACACTAGGATTTGACGGTATTCGAAAGCGTTGATTTTCTTTTTTTCTCGGAAAAGTTCCACCTTCGTAGCCTAGCGTGTACGCTGGCACGTCGTACGTGGTGCCGATCGGTGGACCGCGAGATTTGTGATAATGCAAATCTACAGAGGGTGTGTGCAAATGACCAAATCCTGTTTGCGGACCAGGACTATACGAAGGTTCGAAACAATATGATCGTGCATCGGGAAGTCCTATCGACTCCCCGGACTGTGCAGACGGCAAAGACGGCGGGGATGGGTATCTCGAGGGTAACGAATTCTGTTGATGGGGGTGTGGATGCGAATGCGTATAGGGGGGAAAAGAAAAGTTACCAGTCAATTGCTGTCTTGGGCCGCTGGTCGACGATGTTGAGGATCCAGCCCCCGAATAGAGCTGAGATTGCGCTCTGTTATGCTGCAACGTATCTATCTGGCTGTCATTGCTAGGGGTATACTTTTGAGCTCTCTTCTTCGAGAAATATTCTACATCTTTTCCCGTGTTACCGGATTTCACAGAAAAGTCGATACTCGTTTCGGACGGTGTCAGCGTAGAACTGAGTCTATTTTCCGTGCTCTCGAATTCGGTTGCCGGTTTCTTATCTATCGGGATATCTTTGAACTGCACCACTGGAGTAAAGGATTTTTGACTAAATAACGGTCCAGTCTTAAGGAAATTTGGTAATGGTTTTTCAAAAGACTTATAAACTGTATGCCGATTGTTAACATTCGGAAAACTGGTTAAGGGAATCGGGTTGGAAATACGATTATAACTTTCATACTTTGGTGGATTAAGGAGTACACTTAAGGGCAGCCTTTCTTTTGTCTTACGTGGATGTAAAATAGTACCAGTACCATTTTGTATCAGAGGTCCACCTCTAGCTTTCGGCCACGTACCTCCATTTTTCTCAACTTTCTCAGTTCCGCGTCGCTTACTTCGTTTCAATACTCCGTTATTCGCTTTCTTGTGATAGCTCTCTATTACGGAATCTAGTTCTGCAATTGCATCCTGTTCTTGTTCGAAAGTATTTGTACTGGAATTACGATGTCTCTTCTTCTTCTCCTCTCGATCTTTGCTATGTTTACGTCCCCGTACTATATCGATTTTTTCTCGGATGTTGTCCCAAGCATTGCTAATTCCACTTGGCTTTTCGCTGCTAACCGACTTTGAAACTTTATAAACACTTCTATCACCGAAATTCGTTGCAAGATATCGTCTATCGTAATCATCCGATGCAGTTTTTAACATCATTCTTTCTTGTTCCGTTTGAGAACAACTATTTACCATTTTCTGTTTTTCCGTTCCAAAACTTCCATCTATAGTCATAGTTTCAGAACTGGTTGCTGAAGGTAATGGTATTCCTTTCAAGGTTGTAATAGTTAGTACATCTGTACTAGTATCGTTTAAAATTGTCATTGCTTCGTGACTGGAATTAATACCTTCCATTGCTTTACTATTAATCTAAAAGGAGAAACATCAAATTATTACACGAAAAAAAAGAATCTGGTTAACAAAAACGACTACGTACATTTAAAACTCTATCTCCTACAGCAAGATTGCCATCCTTAGCAGCTAGACTACCAGGAGAAATTTTCGAAATATACACTCCAAGTTCCAAAGAAATTCCATGAGGAACAGAACCAACAGGTAATTGCGTTGTCCTTAACGATCGTCTGGTTAAACGCCGTCTTCTTACCGTTAATGTAGCTGATCCCACCGAACAGGTACGTAGAGTTTCCATAATTACACGCGTGGACACGGATGTACAATCCACGCTGTTTACTCGCATAATACAATCATTCACTCTCAATTTGCCATCAACAGCACTACCTGACGTTATTTGAGCAACATAAATTCCTGTGTCGTTCGGATAATATGGACTGTCCCGTCCTCCAACCAACGTTAATCCTAAATCACGATCGGAATCCAGGCAAAGTCGACTAAGATCCAAATGAATAGTAAGAATTTCCCAATCGCTAACGTCTGTGTCGATCGTCGAATCATGAGTATGCGTTAAACCTTGCGCAAATTGACTTGCTCTTAACGCATGATCGCCAGATTCTATCTTCTCTTTGAGATCCTTCAATTCCTTTGAAGCTTCATTTCGTTGCTTTTTAATATCATCAGAATCACGTAAAGCACCCGCTAATTCTGAAACTGCACGATCACGTTCCTTTCTTAATCTATCACATAGTGTCCTAATACTTTCTCTTTCTAAAACTATTTTATCTCTTTCACTGAATGCCCAATCTCTTCTTCGTTTCGATACCTCTGCTTCTTGAAGGGCTTCTTCAAGTTCAGCTTGCAATTTATCTACAGATTTTCTGAGTTTGTCCAATTCCAAGTTTGCTTGATCCAAGTTATCCATACGCTCCTTATCTCGTTTTGTGTAATCTACCGTGCTATTTTCCCTTTCGGCTTCTTTGTTCGAATTATCTCGTTCGCGATTGTATGAGTGTAATTCCATATGATTTTTATAGTCTCTTTTTGAACCTTCAGAATAATCACCGAACTTCTGACGTAATTCGTTACATTGTTTTAATGCTTCGTCGCGATCTTGCAGAGCGGACGAAATTTCTCTTCGCAAAGTTTCGATTTGGTAAGATAAAGCTTTTTTCTAAAAACGGAAACCTTAAAATTATTCACATATTAATATAATATATATAATCGAAAATCAATATAAAACTTGTATAAAGGAAAAATTAATGAAAAAATTATTACATTAAATTATCTCTAAAAATATTATAACCAAACAAAACTTTCTTACAATACATGCACGTCACAGTGACGTCATTTGTGTGCCACTGACGTCACATTTATCGGAAAAAACTTGGTATTTTTATATATTTATTAGTTAGTTCTTCCTTCTTAATTTTCAAATGTTCAAAATTTCAGAAAATTGATCATTTCTTGTCAACTTTCGAAAAGAAGAACTAGCCATTGGTGAAAATTATTCGCGCCATTATTCGACCAGTAAATTATTAAATTGTTAAAAACTGAAGTGAAGAAAAAGAAAAGGAAATTTTTTATTCGAAAATAAAATAAAACTATTAATAAATCAAAGAAGATAATTAATTCAACTTTACCTCTTCTATAAGTTGCTTATTCTGATTTTCTAGATGCGTGATTTTTGTATATGCTTGTGTGAGATCATCACCTAATTTTTCCATTTCCTTATGTACTGTATCACGCTCGCCCATAATTAAACTGTATTCTTGTAATGCAGCATTCCTTTCTTCTGTCAATCGTTTCATATCCTTACTAGCCTTCATGCGTAGCACCATTGCATGATTGATTTCTTTAACTGCTTCTTCATGCTGTTGCTGCACTTTTGCTAAGGCTTCACGATATTCATTTCTTTCTCTTAATGCTATGTCCCACTGCCTAATCGCAGCAGTACATTGCTGTTTCAAACCATTCCTCTCACGAACTGCACTGTTACGTTCTTGAACAACTTCTTCATACTGTTTCTTTAATCTTACTGCTTCTTCTTGTGATAGTTCCAACTATATTTAGTTAGTATAAAATTGTTAACCAATATAGTACAAATATATGAAATTTATTTATGTGAGAACAGAGCTCAATTTGAGCTTAAGAAAAATATCAAAATATATACATTTACACTTGCCTTATTAACGGCCGACGAATGTGACGATATTAAGTCATCGTACCGTTTCCTAAGAGCATCATATTCATCTTTAACAGCATCATATTTTCGAAGTGCAGATAAATAGTGCTGATTCATTGTGTCACTATTACTAGCATCAGAAACAAGAACTTCTTGATTCTGACATCTTAGATCTGATACTTCTTTCTGCAACGCCTGAACCTCCCGGTCAAGACGTTGCTTATCATTCACTAGATCTCCATATTTGCCCCGCAATGCGGAACTTTCCTGTGACGTTGCCTCCAACTGATTCATGACTGCTATATGTTGTCCTCTATAGTATTCCAATTCCTTCATAGTATGTTCACACCTACATAAAAATTATTTTATAAATAAACACAATCATTAAAATTGTGTTCATTTTAAACAAAAAATAATCTAAAACAGTAGCACAATCAAAAAAGCGATACAACTTTAAACAAAACCAGGACAAACCGTCTTATGGTATCAGAGTGTTTATGCCTAAGCAGCTGAAGCTGATGCATGGCTTGATCACACTGAGCTTGCAAACCATCATAATCACTATGACATTCAGGACCACCAACAGGACTTCCGACACTGCCATAGCTTCCACTATCTCTTTCTGCATGCCGCACACACAAGTTTTATCCAACAACACAAATTGCAAAATAATGAACAAAATACAAATATTGCAAATTTAAATAATGTGCTTGCACAGCTTTTATTAAAAAAAAAACTATTAGTGCAATACAGTTGTGCATTAAAATTAAAATTATATTTAATATCTATATATTAAAAATGATTGAAAAGATAAAATACATAATTTATTTAAAAACAAGTGAAAATATTGAAAACTATGGTACCAATAAATTTCTGCAAATATAATTTATTTAGTTGAACTAAATTCTTAGATTTTATATACAACACAGGTATGATTACACAATATATTTTAGCTAACATAAATATTCATATATTTTAGGTATTATTCTTACCCATATTGAGTGCTCCATCTGCAAAAAAATAATAAACAAAAATATAATAAAATGTAACTACAATAAATTTTTCATTGCAAACATAAAAGTGAAACGGTTATATTTATATAGTATTCACTGTGTTGTTACAATTGGTAGAACAATATAATCAGAAGTTTTGCTAGCTTTCACCAGGAAAGAAACTCTATGTCACGCATGTAAGCATCATGATTCATTGTTTTTACCAAAGTGAAATTGTAAACACTGTTTGGATATTACCTACATTAATGTAAACTTCAAACGTACAATAATATTTATTTAACAGATTATGTTACTTATCCAATTAATGAATTACTTTTGAATTTTTATGGGCAAAAATAATTTATTATGTAATAATCTTTATTAGATATAATGCTAATGTGTATGTAAAAATATCTTCTCTTTATATTCATTAAACAGCAAAATACTGTTTCTTTGTATCAATGCGTTTATGTTCAAAGGATTAAAATAAAAATAAACCTTTTCAATATCAGTTAGTTTATTGGGTCAAACTTTCCCATTTAGTTTAGAACTTCAGCAGAAAACAACTGATGCGAACACATATCAATGCATAACATAGGAAACTAAAGATTACACTTACCACTACTTCCAGCACTATCCAAGGAAGACGCACCAGAAGCCATGCTCTTGATTCACCGAGGATCTACCACAAATATTTCTCTAGCAAGGTACGTGCTAGGTATTGCCTGGAAAGTATCCATGCGCTGTACTTCACGGAAGAGTGAACCCTTTGTGAATTACTAAGAAGTAGCCTTCGGGATGACATTACGGCTATGGTTTAAACGGTGCATGGCGCTCATCAGAGGGATGCAACAGTGCACCTGGCACACATACACACAAAGTAGCTCTTACTCCAATACAAACACGTGCCTTGTAATATCGAGACTTTTCATGCATCACTTTTTTCCGCGCGGTTACTGATACGGGAGAAACAACGAGTGGACGTATGTTTTCTGAATGGACGTAATAAATTAATCTAGGTTTTGCTGATGTGTCTTAATCTCGAAACCGCGTCGCATCCGTTCTTTTCTCTTCTGTCAATCGCGAAGTTATTGATCCTCGTTTAAGGACAAACACAAACGAGTAAAGATCGCCGTCTAGCTCGTTTCTAACAAACTGAAAACTTCTTATCACTGTAAAAAAAAAGAGCCAACAAGCCTTTCAGCGGTGATCTCGATCGTGCACCTCTTTAAATAATCCATTAACTGGCTAGACAACACTAAAATCGCCACAATTCTCACTGATTTCGGTCGTTCGAATCGTCGTGAACTGCGCACCGTTCAACCCGAAGCGGCTAATGTCCCGATATTAACGATAATTGATCGCTCACCTGCTGCACCAGCGAACCTGACAATTAGCCATTTTCATTCCGCCACTACAGTCTGTTTCGTATTGTCGATAATAAACATACTTTGCGGTGGAGCTTGTTATCGAGACTCGTGGCGCTAGTGTCACAGATGAGGTTGTCTGTGATCGTCGCTAAGTATTCAAGTTTGCTATAAAACTCATTAATTTGACCAAAATAGCATAATAATATGCAAAAAGCAATAAAGAAAGTTGTGTATATTGGACAATTATTGTATTTGTACGATTTTTAATTTTTATCACTTCGCGTTTAGAAAACAGTACTTTCAGAGTCATCTGCCACCAAGCAAAAGAATCAATGTTACAGAAATTCGCTTGTTTTTCTGAAATAAACGAATTTTGCATTTTACCACAAACGAGGTATAGATCACTTGCGGCATTTTCTTTGTTACACTGTTGATTCTGAAATTAATGTTTAATACATGTTCTCGAATGAAGGTTTGAATACAGAATGAATACTAAACGATTTTGTTTTTAAAATAAAATTGAATATGCCAAACGACGATAGCTTTAAACATTTATCATTTGTTCACTAGTAAAAAGAGAATTCTTCTAGTTCGACGACTTTGATAACAGAACTCATCTTGACCGACGAATCTGATGATCACCATAGAGTATAGGAGTTATTGAAAATGAAATGCATATAATTACATCAAGAAAAAAAAGGAAACAATCTTTTAAAAAAACCGCCACAAACGCTGTTAACAACGCCATCTAACAACAAACAGCTAAACAATGATGAACACGTGAAAGTGCCGACCGGATTCTGTCGGTAATTAATTAATTACACATCAACGGTAATATACCATCAGTGAAGTTTCTATTGTAGTTCCGTATATCACTGCTAGATGGCGCTGCGGCGAACCTGCATAAGGGGGTGTTCAGATTAAGCAAGTACCAGTCACTCTAGCCTAATGTGAAGGACATTGAATACAGTGTAAGAAAGCAATCGATTTATGCATTCATAACAATCTTGTCCATAATTTACAGATTTCTTTAACTTTCCAGAAGCAAATTAATTGCCACATTATCTTTATTTCCTCAACAGATTTTAATTAGCTTTCTACAAGATCCTGTACTAGAGCGCACTCTAATATGTATATTTTATCATGATAAATCCGTCCTAAAATTAAGTGATAATAATGTATCAATCTATTAAGAAAATACATGTACATTAACTTATATGATATGTAAAAGTGTTTGAAAATAAATATGAATAAAAGCATGTATTTGCATTTTTACTTACTCATAAATCCCGTCATTCCGGACCCCAGAAATTGCTCCAAATTTAAAAAAATTGAAAATAAAAAACAAAATATTCAGTGTTTCTACCGGGAGAACATAAGTTGTGAGGAGGTATCTTTCGTGCCACTTCTTGGAATTTTAATGACGTCAAATTCCAAGAATTCCCGGGCGGCGTTTTTGAAATTCAACCGACCAATTTTGGAAATTTGTATCAGGAGAACATAAGTTGTGAGGAGGTATCTTTCGTGCCACTTCTTGGAATTTCAATGACGTCAAATTCCAAGAATTCCCGGGCGAGGTTTTTGAAATTCCACCGACCAATTTTGGAAATTTGTATCAGGAGAACATAAGTTGTGAGGAGGTATCTTTCGTGCCACTTCTTGGAATTTTGTTGACGTCAAATTCCAGGAATTCCTGGGTGAGGTTTTCGAAATTCCCGCGACCAATTTTGGAAGTATGTATCAGGAGAACATAAGTTGTGAGGAGGTATCTTTCGTGCCACTTCTTGGAATTTTGTTGACGTCAAATTCCAGGAATTCCTGGGCGAGGTTTTCGAAATTCCACCGACCAATTTTGGAAATTTGTATCAGG